CGGCATGTCGGAGTGCCCGGCAACTGGTGCAAGCCGGAGCTTTAAGTCGGCTGAACGAGATCCTTCTCGAACAACTAGGCCTGATGGGCGCAGCGACGGGGAAAGGGGAAGCGACGGGAAAAGGGGAAGCGACGGGAAAGGGGAAGCGACTCAAGAAGATGGAAGAAACTGCCTGGGACGGGTCGAGTGGGTCACGGCGATGGGTTGCAAGTACCATTTATGCGCTCTTGAGGGTGTTCGTTTGTGGAGCAACCAACAGGTCTGTAACGGGTTCAAGGCCGCTCTGGACGACGTTAACAGCCGGTTGCAGGGGCTCATAACCCAGCCGGAACCGGCAGGTTCCGGTGTGTATCCTGCGCTGGTTGAACAAATCCGAGCTAGCGTCGACCCGCTTGCTTTCATGCTCCATGAACTAAAGGAACTGGATAACCTCAAAGCTCTCGGAGATGCGCCAAGACTCGACCAAACTCCCAAACCCGACGACCAAACTTCAACTATCAATTCAACTCCAACTATCAATTCAACTTTGCCCACTCCGACCAAGCCCACTCCGGCTGCGGTGACCAAGAGTCTAAGTGTGATCCAGTCGCGAGTACAGAAGGTCATCCAGCAGTGTGTACGGAGCGACCGTGAATTCACCATGCTGAGACATCGGGCGGTTGGAAGCTTGCAGGCAATTACTCGCAGCACGGAATCTGAGCACGACCTCGAACTCGAAAACGAAATGCTGAGGCAACTGCAAACGCAAGTGTTTCGCTTTACCAACGACGAAACACAGTCCATTCAACGCTACACTAAGAAACTTGGCTCTCTACTGTGAGCCTGCCTACTGCCCAACTCTCGTGACGTAGTGTGGTCCACGAGTGCTGTCAGTGTTGTGCCACGGAAGTGTGGTCCGTGAAGAATTCGTGCGATAAGAATTCGTGCGATAAGAATTCGTGCGATAAGAATTCGTGCGATAAGAATTCGTGCGATAAGAATTAATCAGAACTACGGCGGCTCAACAAGACGACTTGTTTACCGACTCATTCAGGAGTGACTGGAATGAGGATACGTGGAGTGAAAGATGGGATCGAGTGAAGACGGGGCGGAGTTTGCCGCGATTTTTTTGGGTAAAAATGAGCAAGCAAGCTGACAGTTTTGAGGTGTCCGAGAAGATGGCCGAATTGACGGCCGCAACAGAAGTTAGAGGCGAGGACAAGCGGACCCCGATTTTCCCAATTGCTTTGGGTGCCCCTAGAGTGAGTGCGAGAGTGATTCCGGAGCTAACTTGTGGACAGAGGGTTCGTGTAGAGGCCCTGCTGCATGAGGCGACAGGTGCGGATTATTTAGATAAAGAGGTGACCGTGTGTGGCTGGGCGAAGACCTGCCGCAAACAAGGGGGTGGTCGAAGTTTCATCGAGCTGAACGACGGTTCTTGCGTCCGAAACTTGCAGGTGGTCGTGGACAGAGGTTGCCTGTCTGAGGAGGTTGGTGCGCAGGTCGCGAAGGCCGGTGTGGCGTACTCCTTCAGGATCCGGGGCAGGCTTGTGCGTTCCCCGAAGGACGAGCAGACGTATGAGATGCAGGTGTGTGATTCCGAGAAACACAGTGTACGAGTCTTGGGTGGTGCCGACCAGGCCAAATATCCGTTGGCGAAGAAGAACCACAGCAAGGAGTATCTACGTGAGATTCAGCACTTGAGGCCGCGTTCGTACATGATGGGTTGTGTGATGCGCGTGAGGTCTGCGCTGGCCATGGCCATCCACGAGTTCTTCCAGAGCCGCGGCTACGTGTACGTGCACACACCCATCATCACAGGAGCCGACTGTGAGGGCGCAGGCGAGATGTTCCAGGTTACAACCATGATGCCGGAAAGCGGCTTGATTAAGGACATCCCGGCGACCAAGGATGGAAAGATCGACTACAAGAAGGACTTCTTCGGCAAGCTCGCCAACCTTACGGTTTCCGGCCAACTGAACCTGGAGAACTTCGCCTGCTCCTTGGGCGACACCTACACCTTCGGGCCCACCTTCAGAGCGGAGAACTCTCACACGAGCCGACACCTGGCGGAGTTCTGGATGATTGAACCCGAAATGGCGTTCGCTGAGCTCGAGGATATTATGGAGTGCTCGGAGGCTTTCCTTCGCTTCTGTGTCCAGTACATTCTGGACCGACATGCCGGCGATATTGCTTGGCTTGAAAAGAACGTGGAGGAGGGACTTTCCGCTCGGCTCAAGAACGTGGCGGAAAGCCACTTCGCCAGGTGCTCGTATACTGAGGCTATCGAGCTGCTCAAGCAGCAGCCTGAAGGCAAGTTCGGTGACGATCGCATTTTCTGGGGCATGGACATGGGAAGCGTCCATGAGCGCTTCTTGTCTGAGGAGCACTTCAAGAAGCCCGTCATCGTCTACAACTACCCGTACGAGCTCAAGGCCTTCTACATGAAGGTCAACACCGACGTGGGGGTCGCGCCAGGGGCTACTGTCAGAGCTATGGACGTTCTCGTACCGGCCATTGGCGAAGTCATTGGAGGCTCCCAAAGAGAGGAGAACCTCGAGCTGCTCGACAAGCAAATCGCCGACAAGGGACTGCCCCAAGACAACTACTGGTGGTACCGCGAGCTGCGTTCGTATGGCACTGTGCCTCACGCAGGCTTCGGCCTGGGTTTTGAACGTCTCGTCATGATGGTCACGGGCGTCGAAAACATCCGTGATGTTATCCCATTCCCGCGCTACCCAGGCAACTGCGAATTTTAACTTTCGTGTACAACCGACTTTGGACGACGACTTCCAAAGCAGCGCGGTCAACGGACAGACGACAACAAGGTTTTTCAAACTGCCATTCGGGGACCCTAGAATTTTTACAGACACGCTTCAGTACACAGGGTATCGCCTCGTGGTGGAGGTCCTCCGTATGAAAGATAGTGTCCTTGTGCTCATTACATCTCGTCCGAGAACGTGGGCAAGAAACGTGTGGAATTAAGCACTGATCTGGAGTTTTTGCTCTGCAGTAAAATACGAGCCGTCCTCTTTACTAGTGATCGAAGCGCATCGTGATATAGCACCCCACACTCGAGTCTGCCCTTCAACGTAATAGCAATCTTTAAGGTCGAGGTTTTTGCTTTAATTGGGTTTTCTGATAGCCATCGTAGACAGTACGTGTGCGAAAATGTTCGTTGCACTGAAAGCTGCATCGGGAGGGATCGGTGTAGTCGATAGTCGCCTGCCAGACGAAGGGTAAACTGAACATCCAAGGAAACCGGAAATAATGACACGTGGGATTATCACCGTTACCGTCAGTGCAAAGTAACGTGCCGCCGGTCTAGCTCTTCCCAACCATTTGCCGCCGCGTTGATCATTGCCGACGGAGTCGTGCAAGACGATGTACGTTCATCTTGCTGTCTTCGTACATCGTCTTGCACGACTCCGTCGGCATCCTCATCCTGGCCAATTCATGACCAGAAATCGGCAGTGCGTTGTTTTTATTGCCGATCGGTGGACGTGACGGGAGCCTGCAGCGCAAGAAATCTTGGTATGGGACCTTCAAACAGTAACGTGACACGGAGTCCTTGTAAGCCGCAGTCTCGTTCATAACGAGCTCCAGTAAGGATGACTCATCTTTACTGGATGAGTCATCCAGTAAAGA